CGCAATTGCCACTACCCTCCAGACCCTAACGGGCCTGCTATTTCCCGCGCCAATTCCTTCAATATTCTCGGATGAAGATCGTCCGGTCCTCCCGACTTAGCTCCATTAAGGTGTTCAAGTTTTGTTTCTACCTCGGATACGGTAATCCCCCATCCTGAATGCCCCTCTATAGTGGTGCTAGTATCCCTAATACCTTCATTGGCCTCATTAAACACTGATGTAAAATATTCATTGAGATATTGCGCCATGCCTAGATTGTCTTTAATCTCCTCTCCGGCAATAGTCTTCAGTGGTCCCACTTCTTCTTTCTTTGCTTTCTTCCTATTTATGTGGCTGTAAAACCTCTTACTATTGCTTTTAATTCCCCTCACTAGGTCCAACTCTACACGGTCTTTGGCCTTTCTCACTCTATCTCTACTCCTATTTCTTTCAGCAGGATGGACTTAGTTAAAAGAGTGGGTTCATAGGACAACAATGCCAGCTTCTTACACTGTGCTGCTATTAACACCTTACAGTGTGAAAACTGGAAGATTTTAAATCACATTCACTTCTCACCCCATATGTATGTATATTTGTTTTTTTGTTTGTTTTGTTTTTTTACTTAACATTTGCACTTCACTCAGTTTGGATATCAGAACTTGTCTGGTTTCTTTATAATCAGTTTCATTTTTTTTAGTTCTCCCAAACACAATGAATAGACTAATGTGAGTTTCTGACACTGCAGTGGGAGTGAGTGTTTAAATCCCAAAGCCCATGTTTACATTGATGCTAAAATATTCATGAAGGATTTTCTATTAATAGTTTTGCATAACCTGAATGTTGAACCTGAACTCCTTGACATAGTTTCTTTAAGGGTCAACTAAAAAGTCCACCAACTCTCTGGGATATGACGTGATAGATATCCTGAATGTTGGTAGCGCACATACTTGTCTGTGATCAGACATGAGAGAAACAGACATGGATTCTAAATTCAAAACCAGAAAACAATAAAGTGGTAAATTGTATATAGTGTAATTGAAAGACATTTCCTATTAGTGCACATGTTGCATAGTAGAACAGTCACTATGATTACCTTGAAAGTAACGTAGAGCAGAAAGTGATAATTTGCTTCATATGGTGCCTAGTAGCTTACCAACAGCACATTTTTTGTAATCTATAAACTTTTATGTATAAATTAGCATACGTGACTATTGGTTGACTTGGATTTGAGTAAATTCTTTCAGGTATACTCTAGTAATGTTGGTGAGCTGCCCACTTGTTTTTGAGTGTGGTGTTATTTTGTTCAGCAAGTTCATGGCAATATTGGTCCTTATCACAAAAGATTCATTCTGCAATATTTGTGTGTGAGCAGATTTCACAATGAGAATGCTGGGGCATGCATTCATGTCTGCCAATTTCCCTGAATACAGCAGTTCAAAGGGATTTTATGATAACCTTTGTCATACATACATGAATGTTTGTTCATGTCAGTAGGGGTATTTGAAACTGACAGTCATTGTACAATAGCAAGAGTCAACCACAGACTTGTTTGAGATACAGCAATGGTGTTATGTCTTGAATAAAAGTGCAGTTTTACATACCATTTTGTCTGTAGAGTTGAAACCAGGATATCAGTCGTTAATAATTCAAGGACAAGAAAAACACATTCATAGCAACGTGAAATTTGCTTTTACTACACCAAACATTGTTCAGCATGCTATCTAAGCTGAATTTATGTAGTTAGTTTTCTGAAGCAAGCACAATACACTGAATCAACTTTAGATTAATTTCTGGATCGATCGTACTACATCGAATTTTAGTTTCTGATGGCTCTCTTGTGTTCCAAGGCTTGACTCTCCCCTTGTTTGTAAACACATGTTCATAAGCCATCTTTCAAAGATATGTGTTGATATGCTCAGTGTACTAGAGAATTAGTTCAAGTCCTTGAAGGGATGTGCACAGGATTTTTTAAAAACTGATGTTATGCCCTGTTTTGCTTCTGTATGACATATAAAGAAGGTCTGAAAAGGTGGTTTATTTTGCTTTAGGTTTTTGTTTTGTTTTTACTGCTGCTTTTTCTCCCCCACTGCAACTTGAGACCATTACTCCTTGTTCTGTCATCTGCTACCACTGAGAACAGTCTAGATTCATCCTCCTTGGAACCCCCTTTCAGGTAGTTGAAAGCAGCAATCAAATCCCCCCTCATTCTTCTCTTCTGCAGACTAAACAATCCCAGTTCCCTCAGCCTCTCCTCATAAGTCGTGTGTTCCAGCCCCCTAATAATTTTTGTTGCCCTCCACTGGACTCTTTCCAATTTTTCCACATCCTTCTTGTAGTGTGGGGCCCAAAACTGGACACAGTACTGTGGGGGAGGTTTAGGTTGGATAGTAGGAAAAACTTTTTCACTAGGAGGGTGGTGAAGCACTGGAATGGGTTACCTAGGGAGGTGGTGGAATCTCCTTCCTTAGCGGTTTTTAAGGTCAGGCTTGACAAAGCCCTGGCTGTGATGATTTAGTTGGGGGGGGGTTGGACTAGATGACCTCCTGAGGTCCCTTCCAACCCTGATATTCTATGATTCTATGAAAAAATATCAGAAAAGTGTCAAGTGTGGTGTCTCCTGGTTTTGCGGAGGATCTCAGTGAAATGTTAAGGGTATTTATTGTGAGCTCTCAGTCCTTTATTGAAGGTTGTATTGCATCTATTAAAAAAAGGTCTTATCCAAAATATTAGGCAGTGAAATAATAGGTATTAACAAAAACAGAGTTTTAAACAGTCATACTAAAAATCCCTTGCCAGCTCAATTGCTCAACTTTTAATCTCCCCTGTGACATTATTTAATTAATTCTCTAGGTCTTCTCCAGTACAGTTTTCCACGGCAGACCTGAATTTTTAATGTAAAAACACAACTAAATTTGGTTTAGTCTTGTTTAACCCTTTCAGACCTGTATGGGTGGGTGTATAAAATTTAAAAAGGCATAAGGCCACTGTTTTTCCTCCTACCTCTTTGGAGGTCACCTTTAAGATCAACCTTGCAAAATTCTGTTTGCTCATGATGAGTAGGTTTGGTTTGGGGTGAGGGATTAATGGAGGGAAAATACCTTTAGTTTATTCATTAAAATTAACGGACTCAGGGCAGGTCTACACTTAAAATGCTGCATTGGTGCCACTGCGCTGCTTAAATTAAGATGGTCCTATGCCAACAGGAAAGCTTCACCCATCAGCTTAATTAATCTATCTGCATGAGAGGCAGTAGCTACATTGATGGGAGAAGCTCTCCTGCCGACATAGTGCTGTCTACACCAGGGGTTAGGTCAGAATAACTATGTACCTCAGGGATGTGTATTTTTCACATCCATGAGCAATGTAGTTATGCCAATATAAGTCTGTAGTACAGACCTGGCCTCAGACTCTAGAGATATAGGCAAGAAATTCTAAAGCCAAGGACTCTTAACCCAAGAACACCTTGCCAGATATTCAGTTTGTAGTTTTTTGAGAGCACCCTAACTCATCTCAGATGTTGTGCTAGCACCTAAGGTGGTCTCTCAGGTAGCTAGAGCTTAAATATTTCATCTGTCTCAAGTCTTCATTTTCTTGTTCTGAAATTCTTGACATACCCTTGGAAAAGGGCAAAGTGAGATTCTCTTCTCCCTCAGCCTCCAAAAAGTCAGCTCATATTATTCTTGACCATAGCTCTACAACTGTCCCTTCAAAAATGGATTGGAAGAGGAAATCTTCAACCATATTGCACACTGTGATCATATAAGTAACTCTCTACTTAATTCACAATATTGCAAAAATTGCAGATCCTGCAATATTAGGCTTCCGCTGCAGTTTTGACAGTGGGAGCCCCGCCATGTGCGGGGCTGACAGCAGCAGCCCCGGTGTCAGCCCCAGACTCCCACTCTCAGCCCCTACGCAACTGACAGCAGAAAGTCACAAAAAAGTAATAATGGACCTTATTACCGCAAATAAGGTCCATTATTACTTTTCCACGATTTTTCATAGCTTGTCCGCAACTCAGCCGCAGTGGTGACTTCTAGTGATTAGGGCTCAGGAAGCCTGGGTTCATTTCCAGCTCTGCTGCTGGTGTACTTGGGTGATCTTGTGCAAATCATTTCCCACCCTGTCCCTCAGTTTCCCCATCAATTAAATGGGGATATTGATACTGCCCTCCTTTTGTAAAAGGCTTTGTGATCTAAAGATGAAAAGTGCTATCTAAGAGGTAGCAATTATTATTTTATTATTATCAAGGGGAGAAGTTGCCACCTTGTGACAAAATGCACAAAAATGTGATTTGCAAGTCTCATTTCACATGCAGAGAAGATGTGGAGCAAAGAAGGGAGATGCAGAAGCAGTAGAAGTAAGAGTCAAATTAGAATTGCCAGGTAAATGTGTGGCTTTCTTTATTGGTGAATGGGTTTAGATTTTGAGACCTTTTGGTATGTGTGAGATGTACTTCCATGTGAACCCTTCCTTAAAAGGTCTAAGAAGACATAATTGTATACGCACTTTCTGTCCAGGAATTACAGGTGGATCAGGACAGAATTTCAAAATGATTAAATAGAACATCTGAGATACTTAAAGTAATATTAAAAATAAGGAAAAATGAAAAAGGTGCAATTTAACTTTGTATTTGAGAAGTTATAAATATTGTATCTCACTTTAGAGCATATCCTGGAACTTTCATTGCAAGTAATATTGCTTCTTATAGCTAAGATGTGAAAAAATTATCTAAGTTATATAACATTTCGATACATACTATTTTAATGTTCTCTTTTCCTTTTTCATACTACTTCCATTTTTCACCTTTGTGTACAGAGATGCTGCAGTGATACCTCTGTGCACTTCTGTTGTCTCTATCTCCATGGTAGCTGTGATCTTGAAATTGTTCTGCATTAACAACTTTCAGTGCTTCAGTGAATGGTAATTTTGTATTTCAGAAAAAAATATAGGCTTGGTAGTAATTTTCATGTGTTCTAAAACATCCTGGAATCTTTCCTTTATTTAAAAAGTAGTTCTGTAACAAATATTTTCCCTTACTCTCTAAGACACGATCTGTTGTGGTTTCTTTATCTCCAGAATCAATATTTTTTAGCCTGTAAAAGGCCTTATGTCTTAAGGACTTTAAAACAAAGGTTTTTAAACAGATGATAAACTGCAGTTGCCACATTAAAAAACCTAAAAAACTAAAAGGGGAGGATCTCCCAGATGGTTCTAATAAAACAAGGAAAACAGCAAAGGAGTTATGGGGGCGAGAATTGAAATTCAAGTCACAGTCACAGTGCAAGGTTTGGTTTCATACAAGGAAGGAAAAAGTTACACATGAGCCTTTTTGTGTTCTTCAAATCATTCCTTTCAAATTTTCCTATTGTCATATTGCTGCTATTTTTTCATGTCCATCACCTTACCTGAAGGGTTATACCATTCAGCCAGAGCTTCCATTCCAAGGATAGGTTTCAGAGTAGCAGCCGTGTTAGTCTGTATCCGCAAAAAGAACAGGAGGACTACAGCCCACTATGCATCCGAAGAAGTGGGCTGTAGTCCACGAAAGCTTATGCTCTAATAAATTTGTTAGTCTCTAAGGTGCCACAAGTCCTCCTGTTCTTATTCCAAGGATAGTGACAGTCACCCAGAAGATTTATAAAAGTCTGAAACACTACTTAAAAATCCATCTTTTCAGCAACTCTTCGCATAAAAGCTTTGCTTTATCATCAGGGCCGGCTCCAGGGTTTTGGCCGCCCCAAGCAGTCGTCTCCTCCCCCCCCCCCCCCAAAAAAATCGCTATCTGCGGCGGCAATTCGGCGGAAGGTCCTTCACTCCAAGCGGGAGTGAGGGACCGTCTGCCGAATTGCCGCCGAATAGCTGGACCTGCTGCCCCTTTCCGGAGTGGCCGCCCCAAGCACCTGCTTGCCAGGCTGGTGCCTGGAACTGGCCCTGTTTATCATCATGGCAAAGAACAGAATGAAGAAATCTAGGGAACTTCTAACACTGTAGGCACTCCTATTCTTTCCTCCTGTCTTCCCTCTCCAAAGAAAGTGCACTTGTTTGTTCATTTTACTAAGCATTTTTTTGGTCCAGTTGAAACAAAATTTGAAAGCTAGTTTCCCAGTAACCACCAAAGTCCTAGCATAGACGTATTTTCATCATCGGTATTGAAATACGGAAATGATTATATAGCATAGTTCACCATAAGGATCGTATCTCATGCCTCTATTTCAGGGGTTCTCAAACTTCATTGCACCACGACCCTCTTCTGATCTTAAAGCTGAGGTAGGTATAAATGTCAAGGTTTGTGGTTGTTGTGGCCAGTAAATGCATTTTGCATAAATAAATTATTTGGGGTGGGGGGGAACCACTCAAAAAGCTCTTAAGCTTTCTTCCAAACTGAGCAACCAGTTTTCTCAGTCAATCACTTTCATCAGGGAGGAAACAAAGTTGTTCTGAAAGTACCTACAAATTCTTGATCTAAATGGCAGACCTTCTGGACATTTTCTTCTAGAGTCAAAGAATCTTCCAAATTTGTAGTACAGAAGTCAGCACAACTTCCTTCAACAGCTCAGGCAACAACAGGTATTATAATTTTGCTATATTAGGAATCCTTAAGCCTAAGGAGGACATTAGACATTTTCTTTTCTCCTTCTGGACCAGTTCTACCTCCGACAGTATCACTCTACATTTCATACAAAAAGGGGGATGCCTTATAGGATTTCAAGTATTTTTTTTTTCATTCTTTCCTTTATCTTCCAGCAGTGAATTTACATTAAAAATTTATGCATCTTGAAATAGGAGCTAAAATTCCAGTTTTACCCTCTGAGCTACACCTATTTGTTTCCCCCTTCCTTCCTCCTTTGAGTCCAGATTCCCTGTGCTGGACTGTTAAAACACTGCACTCTGACCACCAGGAGAAGACTTCTGAAAGTGAAACTATATAAACTAGAAGAACAAGATGGCTAGAAGAATTGCCTATGAGATCCTAATTCATTTCAGAGGGTTTTCGGTTCTGTGATGTAATAAGAAACTAAAGAAGAGCTGGTTCTGGACTGAAATGGGATGTAGGATAGGAAAGTAATTTAAAAAGGGAATCCAGAACCAAGTCTAACAGTAGATTTTTTTTCTTTTTTTTTAAAGTAAACCTGTAAGTAGGTAGAAGGCACCAAAGAAGGCAGGGTCTCCAAACAACTACAGGGCAGGGAGGGGAAAAAATCCACACTTTATTTATTTATTTTTTAGACAAGAGGTGAGGTTGAGTCAGTACCTCTGAAAATGACATACTTTTTCTTGTAATTTTGCCAATGATTAGAAAGTGGCATTTAAAAAAAAACAAAAAACATCATTTTAACAGCAGAAAACTGGCCAGTCATTCAACTATTTATTATGCTTAGTACTATTGTTCCATTGCTTACCTTGTCTCCTCTCTCCCCCCCCCCCATTTGTTTGTTTTAGCCACCTGTTGTATCTTGTCACTTGTATAGATTACCTGTTTGGGGCAGGCACTGTCTTTCTTTCTTTATAGTGTGTGTACATGTACACTGTCTAATGCAGGGGTGGGCAAACTTTTTGGCCTGAGGGCCACATCTGTGTATGGAAATTGTATGGCGGGCCATGAATGCTCATGAAATTGGGGGTTGGGGTGCAGGAGGGTGTGAGGTCTCCGGCTGGGGGTGTGGGCTTTGGGGTGGGGCCAGAAATGAGGAGTTCAGGGTACAGGAGGGGGCTTCAGACTGGGGCAGAGGATTGGGGTGCGGGCGGCGGGTGTGAGGCCTCTGGCTGGGGGTGCAGGCTCTTGGATGGGGCTGGGTATGAGGGGTTGGGGTGTAGGAGTGTGCTCTGGGCTGGGACTGAGGGTTTCAGATGGTGGGAGAGGGATCAGGGCTGGGGCAGGGGGTCGGGGTGCAGGCTCTGGGCAGCGCTTACTTCAAGCAGCTCCTGAAAACAGCACCATGTTCCCCCTCCAGCTGCTACGCGGAGGTGCGGCCAGGCCGCTCTGTACGTTGTCCTGTCCCCAGGTACCGCCCCTGCAACTCCAACTGACATCAGTTCCCAGCCAATGGGAGCTGTGGGGGTGGGGCTTGGGGCAGGGGCAGCATGCGGAGCTCCCTGGCTGCCCCTACGTGTAGAAGCCGGGGGAGGGATATGCCACTGCTTCCAGGAGCCGCATGGAGCTACAGTACGCGCAGAGCAGGAAAACCCCAGACCCCATTCCCTGGCTGGAGCGCCGGAGCGGGGCAAACCCTGGGCCCCACTACTCGGCAGGAGCTCGAGGGCTGGATTAAAACATCCCAAGGGCCTGTTCCGGCCCCCGGGTCGTAGTGCCCACCGCTGGCCTAGTGCAATAGTGAGAGACAAGCTTTTCTAATATCTCCACTGTTTATAGCCGTCCTGTGAAATTTGGCAGGGGAAAAGATTTTGGGCTAGGAGAGTGCCTTTTCTTTATCCTATGAAATTCAATTCAGATTTTATTGAGATATAAGCTGTTGAAAATTGCTATTTCCTGTTTCTTGCTTGTATGGCTCGGGGAAAATCTGGCACCATGCCAAAATAACTGAACATGAATATTCTAAGATTGGGTCCATGCCATTGCAGTAGCTGCAGCAGATACTGCCCTGGGAGCACTTGGGAGCTGCTAGAGAAGCTGTATAAAGTTGAGGGGACAGCACCAGACACGCTTTCCCGAACAAGCCATGGCCTCACTTATGTGTCTGCATTATGATAGGTTTTTTTTAAATTAAGTTATCACATACTGCTTTTTGTAGAGAACCTTTGCCTCATTCACTGAATAGGGTAGACACACATTGGGGCAGAACTACAGTTGTACAGACAACTTTAAATCGGAAATTTCCTAATGTTCAGGTGTTTGACTCTGCAACTAAATAACATTCTTTTAACATAGGTTTTTATGTAATATTAGCAAAATCTGATACATTAAATAATGCGAATGTTGACATAGCCTTAATAACACAGAATATCGGATTATATTATCTCTAAGTGAAGTGTAGTTTAGTGTAGTATAGTTCCTCTGAAAAGTGCTTTAGAGCAACATCCTATGCACAATTCCATTGTATTGTATGAATTATTCACAGTTCAGTAAAAGCTCAATTATAATCACCCATCAACATTAATAGGAAAAGGATGATATCCATTTTCTAATGGACTGTGTTTTAGTTTTTTTCCCTCCCTCCACTGTCAGCAGTCATGTCTCACGTGGTTACTTTAGAAATACAGTATTCTTGTTAGTAATCCTGTAATGAGGCACCCCTTTATTGAGTATGTATTGGCAGTGCAGCTAACATGCCAAGGTTGGCAGTAACTAGAGAATGGGGAATGTTTTGCAGAAATGGCTTGTGACGAATTTGTTTAGCATTCCCTGTTATCACTTAGTTTTATG